GGCTGGCACAGAGCCTAGCTCTCACAGCACCAAGCCCTGGGCCAAGGAGGATCTCAAGAATGGCAATGCAGGGTGGGATCAGGAGCATACTGGGACAGCCCCAGGTAGGCCGGCAACCACTTGTCAGGATGCTTTGATTGACTACAGCTTCTTCATCTGGAAACTTGATGTGAGGATCTTGGCTCCTTTTCTTGTATGAATCCAAGTGTCTAAGAAAGATCTGTGGTCCAAGTGGTTTCACACTTCAGAGTTTTCAGTAAGCTGCAGCTTTGCTACTGCACCTCACTGTGGCCCTCCTGCACTGACAGATCACAAGCGACACTAAGGTCTTCCCAGACTGCCTCCAGGGCTGTCACCTCTCTCCCAGACGCCTCCCTGCCTCATTCACCTGGTGACTGGAGATGAGGTGCGCAGGTACTAAGGAGGTCAGAGGACAGAGGCTTAAACCCCTGGGGCTGCCCCTGGCCTCACAGAGCGAGTCCTGGGCCCAAAGCTTGGGAAGAGATGACTCACCTCTTTCTTGCCTCTGGCCTGCTGGAAAGGCTACTTTGAGAACCCAGGTGAGGTGCCAGCAAATTAAGAGACTCCCATAAAGGGGCCAGAATCACCAGAACCCCTTCAAGGGAAGGGAGCTCAGGCTACCCTCAGACTTCCAGAACATTGATGGTGTTCGTTTGCTCTCTCTGTTTTTTACTCCCTGAGAATCTGTATTGAAGAGTTTCTCCTCCTGGATTGGAACTGTTGGTTTCGTGGCCTTTCTTTTGCCACATAAATTGTACAGTTCATCGAGGTCATCTCTTTATTTCCAGGGCCCAGTCTGAAATGTGCCTGGCATGTAACAGATCCACAATAAATATTTGATGAAGTGATGAATACATGAAACGTTTAAATTATGCAAGAGCTAGGAAGTAGTAGTTCTTCGAAAATTTGAAACTGAGGCGACTGTTTTGGTGAGGTGGTAGCATTGTGAAGGTGACTTCTCCAAGGTCAAGTCCCGGCGGGAGCAGGACTGCTGGAAGGATGCCCAGGGATCACGGACTTCCAACAGCAGCAGTACCCAAAATGACCACTAGATGGCAGCAGCACCCAAGGAGCAGCCGCTTCCGCCCTCTGACCACACCCCCCGCCCCCGGCCGGCCCGCTCCAGTCCAGCCCTACCAGCGAGTCCGACCACCTGCGCTGGGCAGGTCCTGGCAGGTACTGATTTCCTTGGGAACCTCCAACCACCCAAAGAAGACGCCCCCGACTCTCTCTTCTGTAAACTCTACAGCCCCTTCCTCCTTCGTGTTCCCAGCATCCCATCACACATCATTAAATTCCTGTGGCCTCGGTGGCGCACCGGAGTCCCCGGGCAGGACCCGGGCCGGCTGCTTCTCCCCTGATGTGCCCTGAGAGAGACAGGTATCTCCCTGAGGGTCCCTCAAGGGAACTGACCGTCTTGGGAACTCATGTATGTGGTGCAGAAGCAGACAAGGAAGCAGACAGACAGATGAAGAAGAAAGAAAATCTCCAGGCCTTGTGGTTAGTAGGGAGATGTCTGACCCACCGGAGAGGCCGGCTAGGGAGCCACCCCTACGTAACTGAGTTTCTCTAGAGGACCAAGGGGCCGGACCAGCAGAGTTAGGGCCGCAGAGGCCTGTCTCCAAGGCGTGACAGCCTGATGGGAAAGGAAAGCAGCAAAGATTGACATGGGAGGAGAACGGGGAGGTGGGGCCCCTCCCTGGGAGGCTGCCTGATTCCAGTCATTGCTTTGCATCATCTTCCTGGGTCCTGAAGACAAACGGCTTCTCAAAGGCCTTAAAAGGAGCATACGGCCTGGTGGGCGCAGGTGGCCTCCTCTCTCCCTCCTGCACCCCAGCTGGAGCCCCTGCCTCTGATCCTGCCTCCCCCTGTCTTCTCGCTTTTCCCTCGGGCACAGTCCAGGACGGAGGCATCACTGGGGTGGAAGCAGGGACCCCTTCTGAGCACATTCCCCGGTCCCCAGCCCAGGCACCCCCGCCAGGTTAGAAGCTAGCTCACTCTCTGGACCCCTGTGGGTGGCAGACACCCTGGGCTCCATGGAGACTCCTGCGCGGAGAGACCGCCTCCGAGGAGAACTCGAAGCTCCGCCGTTCCTGTGGGGGGCCCCTGTGCATAAATCCCCACGACTGGACGTGAGAGGCAGAGAAAGGAGGACGAAAGGAGTCTTCAGTCTTGCTGTGAACCAACGGTACAGCTGAGAGGCATACATAAAACGTGGTCCATCATGGAGCTACCGTGAGTACTAAACGGCAGGCAGGCAAAGGGCCTCTATAAATTGTCAGGTAGCTTGTGAACATCCCCTTAGCCATTTATTCCACACCACCTGGAAAGCCTTTCTGGGCCGAGCACTGATCCCAGGGTGCAGCAGAAATCAAGATGCAGCCCCTGCAGAAGAGAGGAAAGTGCTGCGTGACACCATGAGCAAGCAGAAGCAGCCAGCCCAGGCCAGAATGTGGGAGTTCTTTCAAGTAGACAACCTGGTAGTTTCTCTAACCACATGGTGTGAGCAGAGCAGGGGTGTCTCCTACAGAGGAAAGAATTGGGAGACACAGCTCCTTAGAGTAAGGGCTGGCATGTGTTAGGATCCTGCTTCATGGAAACCTGCCCATAAAAATATGTTTTGAGACAATGTGACTACAGCAGGGGTATTAACATGAAGGCGTGCTTAAGGTTCATGTGTGATTATGATGGCCTTGTGGGTATTGTTCTTACAAAAGAGGTAGAAAGGAAGGAAGTCCTTATCCATTAAAGATACACATCTCCATTTGCAAAAAGTAACTAAAGAAGAGACACCTGGAGTCTGCTCTAAAAAAGAAAAACACTGTAGGAGGGAGACAAGTAAAAAAGAATGAGCATTCACTGCGATTGTTGAACTGGCCTGCAGAGACAGGAGGGTCCCTTAGATAATAGATTTTTCTATTTTTGTGTATATTAACATTTCCCATGATAACTTTTTTTTATGATTTATTCAAAAAAGCATTCCAAGGAAGCCCAGGCCTGCTTTCTGTCCTTTCAGTGCCACAACCAGAGCAGCAGCCCTTCCTCCCGAGACATATGGAGTCGCTGCCCAGGGACGAGGCTGGCTTCGTGGCTGCCTCCTCTGTCCTGCTTCAGAGGAGCCTACAGTCAGCACAGCTTCTGCCACCCATGCTGTCCCCTGGCCCAGATCCTCCCTAGTTTGAACATACCCTCATATATGTGAACATGTGTATATTACATACATCCACTATGTATACACTGTGTTCACTACACACTTGCTATGTGCATTTTCTTACCCAGTCCTCACAAAGGCCCTCTGAGGCAGCAATTATCACAGGCACTTAATAAATGAAGAAATTAAGGCTCAGAGAGGCTAAATAATTTGGCCAGTTCAACAATCCCCAAGAAATGCTTTTCTTTTTCATTTGTCTCCCTCCTATATTGTTTTTCTTTTTTAGTATTTCATAAATTAAGGCTCAGAGAGGCTACCCAATATAAGGGTAGCAGTACACCCGCTTACCTATCTTGCAGGGTCATATGGTGGAATAAATGAATTGTTATACATATCAAGTACTTAGACCAGTGCCTTATGTGGAGGAAGTGCTAGATAAGGCTTTGTCTGGTGGAGGGCTGTTCCCACACCACACAGCCACACCGTGCAGAAGCCGGGGGCGTGCAAGGAAGACTAGACGTCTGAACTAAGGAAAACAATTAGTGATTTGATAATTTGCATTGGAAGTTAAGTCACACCAGGGTTTCTTCATGAGCGCAGCCATTTGGTTTGAGTATAAAGGCAGAGGCATCCACAGCTGAGCTAGCAACATCCTCAAAGCCCTCAAGTATGGTTCCCCTGGACACTCACTGAGCACGGAATGCTCCGCTTTCCCAGAGAAAAACGCTGCTCAGCCTGATCCTCCTCACCGCAGCTCAGCGGACAGGCTGCGTCTCATACTGGCTGTGTGTCTAGCCATTTATCACACACCAACTCTTCAGAGCCTTCCCAGGCTGGAAATTTCCTGTTTGTTTCACAGGAACAGAAATCAAGATGCCAGAGGCAGGCGAACCTCACTTTCGCCCCTGCCTTCTGCTTCCCTGGGTCTCTCCTGGGAGGGCCTCCCCTACGGGCCACAGAGAACCCTCAGCCCATGTCCAGTTACCCGTGGCAAGGCCCCTCCCTCACCCAGCGAGAAACAAAGGCTTCTTGAGCTCTCAGGTTTGAGGAGAAGGGTGGGGCCAGTCCAGCTGTTGGGCTCTTGGGCAGTTTTGTTGGCCCCTGGGTGCCCCTTGGCATCCTGAGGGTGGGCAGCTCAGCCCTCACACCTGCCTCTGGGAGCATAATTTCATGACCATTTACAGAGGTGGAAGCCCCTTCCCCACCATTGCAATGGTTTTCATCATTCTCCTCTTACCATAACAGGAAAAGCCTCAGGGATGTAGTCGGGCAAGACAGGAGAAGCAAGGGGGAGCACGTGCCCCCAGTCCCCTGGGGTAAGGAGGACCGGCACACCCATCCCACCTTCTGCTGGGTTCCTGACGTCTGGTCACATGTGTTGCCCACCCACAGACCTTGGGAGCCTTCAAGGGCACCCGCGTCATCTTGGGACTGGAGGTGCTAAGTAAATCTGCACACGCACTCCCTGACACCCAAAGCCAACCCAGCCCCCTATCTCTTCGGCAAGGCCTGTGCTGGGCAGAGCTGGGGAGTCTGAACAGTCCGCCCTTGGATAGCCCATCACAACCGCTGTCATCATTGCCCATTCCACCAGCCACCCACCCAGGTGCTCAGCGGTCCAAGCCTGGGTCAGGAGAACCAGCCTAATGCAAGTCTCCACCCAAACTTGAAGACAGCCTGCAGAGAAGCTTCATTAATTTTTCACAAGATTCATCTAACAGTGGCTGAGCAGAGCTGAAACACAGCCTGGTTACAAGTGTGTGTGCCGTCAGCCCACAAAGGGTTAACCCATTAGCCTGTATCCTGTGAGCTCACCCCTCTGAGCCTGCTCAGTAGCTGGGATTCACTGCACACAGGCTCCTCTTTGGGGCCCAGGAGGCTTTCTCTGGCTGGGATGAAGAACTTGAACAGAAACTCATTGCCGGCTTCCTCCCCGTGCAAGGTGTGTATGGTCCCCGGACCCCATCCTCCCCTGGGACATCGAGGACAGTAAGTAAGGAGGGGATCTGTCCTCTCTGCTCTTCCTTCCATCTCCCTGGAGGAAGGAGGTGGTTTTAAGTTTGCTTTAGAGTGTGTTGAGTCTCTGAAATATAGCTGGAAGGTGAAGAGACGGGGACTGTGCCTTGGGAGGGGTGAACCAGCCCCCAGTGGGCTGGAGGGGACTGCCCAGGGAGGCCCTCCCATGGTGCCGGGCGGGAGGGGCCACCCCTGATATGTGCCTGGGAGGCTGTGGGCAGTGGGCTGCTCCAGCCCTGTGTGAAGAGCATCGAGCCTTCACCCTCAGCAGTCAGTGAGGAAGGGCCGGGTAGGAACCACATTCCCAAACCAGGGCAGAGGCAGGAGCCGGAAAGCCAGGCAGTGAAGTGCAAGGCTACCCCAGACCCCAGAGTGAAGGGTGGGGCCTCAGACCCAGACTGTCTTCCAGGGCATCTAGGATCAGACCTCGGCATCTGCTGAGCCCTCCCTGCTGCAGGTGTGGCAGGTGTCCCAGGCAGGTACCAGGAAAACAAGGGTCAGGACACTGGGAGTGGCAGGTTCATCCAGAAGAGGGACAGGCAGGCACATATAAGCAGGGACAAAAACATGTAGGGTGAACACATGCCATGGAACGACACATCCGAGTAAAGGCAGACATTACCACCTCTACTATTTTTCCACCGCGTTACTGGGCCGGGCCTGGGTGTTGGCCGTGTGGCATGAGGAGGGCGGTGAGTGACACTGTTTAGGTTAGGTGTGACCTTTGGGGAACTTTCCTTCATAGAAGTGCTGTGAACAGGTGACAGATGTGTGGCTGTGCCTGGTGACAGCAGCAGAGTATTCAGAAACAGTCTGGCCTCTACTTTGTCAGCTCTGGCACTGGGCCCCACTCACCTTATCAGAGCGAAGGGGTCACCCACTGAATATCTTGCTGCAGGACTGGAGCGACTGGGATTGACAGCTGTGCGGGGCATTGATGGGGTCTCCCGGGGGAGAGCAAGGCCCTCCCCCCTCAGGAATTTCCAAAAATAAACCCACACTTGGGTCTTTTTCAGGAATAAATGATTTCTGCCACTTGCCTTTAGCCACCTGCCCTCTCCTCTTCTCTCACCAGAGGACCCTGTCCCCTGATGGGTCCCCAGCTGTGAGGCAGTGTGTGCCCCTGTCTGTCTCTGCTTTTGGTCCTTGCAATTCCCAAAATAGCCCAGTTCCTATCGTGGGAGAGAAGCTTGGAAAGAGACAGATAACTCCAGGCCGAAGCCCCCAGGGCCTCCTATTAGGATTGCCAGATATATTACAAGGATACCCAGTTAAATTCAAATTTCTCATATCCAAAACAAGTTTTTGATATAATTATGTCCTGTGCAATATTTAGAACATTCTTAAGCAACAAAAGCATTCGTTGTTCATCTGAAATTCAAATTTAACTGGGCATCTTGTCCTTCTATTGGCTAAATCTGGCAACCTTTTAATATTGACCGTGTTTCAGCACATTCGCAGGAGAGCAGGGCCAGGAGGGCTGGGGAGCTAAAAGGAAAAGATGTGCAGGATGGGGGTGGTCAGATGCCAAGGAGGCCAGTGAAGAAAGGGGGTCAAGTAGGGCTCCATGCTGAGAAAGCTCGGTGCAGTACATAAAGGACCAGGATTTGGAGCCAGGCACCTCTGAGCCTCAGTTTCCTTATCTGTAAAACAGGGATGGTAATGATAGGGCCTCCCTCGAAGAGCTGGGCAGATGGGACCCTCCAGGTGAAGAAAGCGGCAGGTACCAGGCTCTCTATGCTCCACTGGGTGATAGAGGTGTAACTTTGTGTGCCCACCGGTCACAGACTTCTTGCTGCTGCGCGGGCCCAGCTCAGGCTCCCAGTCACAGCCCCTCCAGCAGTGCTCGGCCTAACCCCTCACCCAAGGCAGTTCTGTTCACTGCCCAGCCCCATATTCAGTGCCCTGTCCACACTGTCCCACCAATTTAAAAAGAAAATCAGAACCATCCCAAAGAGGATCACAATAGACTCGAAACCAGGCTCAGAAGCCAGACAGGCTCCAAAACCCCTTCTGGTCCTGGCTCACTGCTCACCTGCAAAGTAACTTGGGGGAAGTCACTTAACCTCTCTGATCCTCAGTTTCCTTGCCCCCAAAATGAAGTAGTAATTGTCCCTCAGTGACTCATCAGCATGGCTCCAAACACCTCATCCAGGTCTGATGCATGGAGGTTGCTGTTGTACCCAAGTACCCCTCCTCGACCCCCAGCCCCAGCACACTGCTGCTTTGCCTTATGAGATGCGGCCCAGGGTATCCGGGGACTTCAGGAACGTCAGGCAGCAGAAGGCACCCAGGCTTGGCAAGGCATCAGCCCCTTGGAGGCCAAGGCGGGGCTGGGGTGGGGAACCATCAGCCCGTGGTGCCTTGCCCCTCACGGCTGCCTCTGTGGCCCCCTCGTTAGCCAGCCCCATCCTACCACCCTGGCTCTGATAAAGAAGCAGAATGTTGACAACTGAGTGGGAGAGGACAGAACGGTGAACTCGATATTGCAGTGCTATGCTGGTCAGGTTCTAACCCACCATAGCCCCAGGCAGAAACTGGAAAGCAAGCAGATCCACAGGGTAAGCTCTGCTTCACGAACAACCCGCCAAGTTCTTCTCCCCCCACAGCCCCACTATCCACTGAGTCATGTACCAAGTGTTCCCTGAGCCCCTTGCCTCAGCCAAGCCCTGAGCTGCCTGCTGGAAAGCAGAGGAAGTTGAGGAAATCTGACCTCCTGCCCCGCAAGGAGTCTGGGCGGCAGTGACAAGCTTCCAGTCCTGAAAGTGCAGACGTGTACCTGGTCACCTGTATGGGAGTAATTCACTTGTTTCATGTGCACCTGCCGTTCCCGTGAACTGGTCCATTGACACTCGGGAATCTCCTGGAGGGAAAAGTGTTTGGTCCTTATTATCGTGGACAGTCAGCAGCTTGCATAATCCACATGTACCACCAAAACATCTGCTGGGGGATGAATCTACAAGTGCATGAGGAAATGCCAAATTTTTCCTGCCAGTTTTCCACACTCTCATTTGAGACATCTCTGCTTCATCTGTCAGAGACACCCCTGAGCGAGGAGGTGTCCATGTCTCAGACTGCTTTGCGGAGAGGCAGCCAGTCTTAGTCGTTTCTGTAACTCCATGTCCCACAGAGGCTGGCATATGAGAGTTGCTTCAGAAGTGTTTGTCCCATCGCTGGTGCATACTGTTAGCTAAGCATTGTTTACCAACCTGGGAAATACAAGGTCAGAAGCCAAAGGCTGAAAAGATGCATGTGGGCAGGGTCTCCCAGTAAGTGGACAATTACAAACACATGGTAGATAAGCAGGCCAGCTCTAACAAGACTGAGCTCATGTCCCTCCCCTCCAGACAAGCACATTCAGCCAATCAGTCCTTGCTCTGTCCAGGGCCTCTTGGCCCCCTGAAAGCCTGTGTTTTCCTTCAATAGATGGTATCTTTCCAGAGACAAGGTGGAAAAGGTAAAATTCTTGTTTTCTCTCTTCTTTTCTCTCCCTATTTCCCCACCTCCATCTTCATCTCCATCTCCTTCTCCATCCCCACCCCCACCTCCACCCCCATCTCTATCTCCACCCCCACCTCCATTCCCATCCCCATCCCCACCTCCATCAGTCATCCCTGTCATCACCCCCAGCAACATCACCATTGTCACTGTCATCCCCATCATCAGTCATCACCATCACCTCTACCAACATCATGGTCACCCATGTAGCTTTCCAGGCCCAAGACTCAACATGCATATGGGGAAACAAACCCAGAGGATGTGACACATACATGCCCTAGAAATATAGTTAAGAATTTGGCTCTGAAACTTTCTCACTGTGTGATGTTGGGCAAATGACCTGACCTCTCCAAACCTTGGAGTCCTTGTCTGTAAAATGAGGATGATCACAGTACCTGCCCCATAGGGTTGTGATGAGGGCCATGTGGGCCACTGCATGTAAAGCGTCCACCCAGAGCTTGGCTGAAATTCTAAAAAAAAAAAAAACACAGGAAGATACTGTGGGGAGCAGGCAGCAGTTAAGGGAAGAGGTTGGGGAATTTAACAGGGAGCTCTCAGCAGCCCTGATGGCAAGGGGGAGGTGCTGCCCAGCATGAGAACAGGTGTGGGAGAGCCAGCACAGGGCATCTTGGGGCAGGCCTGGAGAAACCCCTCAAGGGCCCTTCTTTCTTCCCAAGGAGCCAGGGTGTGGAAGGATGAGAAGAGAAGCCCTCCCTTGGATCAGGCCTCAGAGTTCAGAGCTGAAGCTGCAGCCAGTCAGTAACCGACCTACACATAGGGGGGCAGCTCTGTGAGCTTCCTTCTTCCTGGAGAGGGTGCAGAATCTAACTTGGAAGCCCCATATCTGGCTACAGTTTAAAGCAGAAAAGATTGAGTGGCATCTGGATGCTGGCCAAGGCGCAGAGAGCCCAGGTTTGTTGCCTCAGGCTTGTCCTTGAGAAGGCTGTGTCTAGGCATTGTAGTGACTGGTGATGGCGATAGATTATTGTCCTTAGCATAGATTATTGAGAGGCAATATGGCAAAGCCATTATAAAAGCTGCTCTCTGGAGTCTGACAGACTGAGGTTCAATTCTGCTCCACTACTCTCACTGTGTGACTTTGGGCAAATCACCTGATTTCTCTGTGCCTAGGTTTTCTCGTCTAAAAAATGGGTATATAATAGAGTCACTACTTCTCCATGTCATGCTGCCTTCTCCTTGACCCCCCTACATTATGTGTGTTAATCATAATGCCTTTTAATCCCCACTTCCATCCCACCCCCACCTCCACCTCCATCTCCATCCCCATCTCCACCTCCTGTCCCCAGCTCCCATTTTCCCCAAATAACACCTTCCCCTCTTTTCAGAATCTCCCCTTCCCCAGAACCAGTTATATAGTCTCTCCCATCAGAACCAGGTGATTCCCTTACCACACAGATCTCCCTTTCA